TGGGAGGAAACACACACTCCATGGTCTAGAATACATGTAGATTACGCTGGGCCCTTTCAGGGTCAATTCTTCCTGGTTGTTGTTGATAGCCATTCCAAATGGCTGGAGGTCGTGCCTGTGTCTTCTACCACAGCCGCCAAGACTATCCAGGTGTTGAGGAACATTTTTGCTGCACACGGGTTGCCAGATGTTCTAGTGTTGGATAACGGTCCTCAATTTACTTCTACTGAGTTTCAGGGATTTCTTCGGACCAACATGATATGCCATGCTGCTTCGGCTCCCTTCCATCCTTCCACCAACGGTCTGGCTGAACGGATGGTCCGCGTCACCAAGGACGCCCTCAAGAAGCTGACTTACGGCAACTGGCATCACAGGTTGGCTGATTTTCTCTTGGCACATCGTACTACTCCGTGCACTGCCACGGGTAAGTGCCCCGCCGAACTCCGCTGGGGTCGTCGGCTCGTGACTAAATTGGACAGGCTGCATCTGGAACGTGTAGCTGCTCAGGTGTCTCAGCCACACCCACCACGGGTCCTTCGTGAAGGTGATCCTGTCTGGGCCAGGAATTACGGGCCTGGCCACCTTTGAGTACCGGCTGTGGTCTGTAAAGTCTCAGGGCCTCTGTCTTACGAGGTGTCCCTGCCAGACGGCCGCGTGCTTTGCCGCCACATCGATCAATTACGTGTGAGGCGGGACGCGCCTATGGTTCCTTCTCAGTCTCCTCTGGGGGGGGAGGAGGAATGGGAAATTCATTCTGGAATTCAAAATCAACAGCCTACGTTGGCTGTGGAAAGGGAAACGGGTATTCAACACCCAACTTCCACAGGTGCTTCAGGTAGCAGTTCTTGGGAAAGGGAGTACATAGACACCCCCACACACACTCCAGCCTGGCAGTCCCACCGGTGGCAGACTAATTATCCACCCCTATCAAGCAATACTCCAGACACGGAGAATACCTGGGAGCATACTCACAACTCACAACATGCAAGAGAGCAGGCAATACAAAGGGGAAACACGTCCCTTGCTGAAAGGGCTCAGAGGAGGATGTCCTCACGCATTAGGGCTAACAGGGAGGCATCCCTAGTCCCTAGNGGAAAGCCAAGCTGAAGTCACTGGTCATTCACAGGGCACTTCACCTAGAGCAAGCGGCCACGGGAATAACAATACAAACTCTCCAGGTCTGAGAAGGTCACTCAGGGCAAGAGGCCCTCCCAAATACCTAGCCGATTACGTAAGGTGAACAGGTATATAGCAAGAGCTGACTGAATGTGCTGGCGGGTTGTATTTAAATTAAATAAGGTCGGGGGGGGTCACTGGATCTGGTTCAAAGGAACAGTCCCACACCTTATACATTGTGTAACTTTATTTCATTATTAATTATATTACCATCTATAGGATGGCGTCCATGTGGGCGCAATCTTATTTCATCCAGGGGGAAGGGGTGTTGTGTCCTGAGCCTGCAAGTTGCAGGCTCGGGACGTTGCAGAAGCTGCCCGGGACCAGACTGAGCGGCGCCAGCCTTGTGCGAATGCGCAAGGCGGGAAAAGCCCGCCTCATGATTGGTTGAACTTGCCCGGGGATCAGAGGGTATAAATAGAGGCCTGCGTGCCTCTGCTCTGGTTGTTCGTAGAGTGGAGCAAACAATAAAGACTTGTTGAAGATAATTCGTCTCAAGCGCCATTATTCCCAGGACTTAACACACATGACAACTGCTATGCTCTTAGCAACGTGTAATTGTCAATTGTGAATGCATATGAGCTGCTTTTATTTAATGCCACATGGCCATGAGGCTCACCCCACACCATGCTGTATAAATATCCATCCATTTTGTAGGAATAATTGGCATCTACCATAATTTCTGCTTGCAGAATTGTGCAGTATTGATCCAGGATTTTATCCGTCTTCATCTTAGCCCTTTAATCCAGTGTATTCCCAGAGAATCCAGCATTCCTACTTTCTTTCCTTTTCTTATTTAGACTACTTCATTTTGCCTACTATCAGGAGAATGTTCCTGGTTTTCTACATAGGCACTCATAAATTATTCCATCTTTAAGGGAATCATGTATTTTTATCTCCCCTGCTTATTTTACAGTGACAAGTCCTATCATCTCAACAGTCATATCTGCCTCAATTATGCTCACAGATTTCCTAATGCAAATGTTAGAGTGGATTGTCCGTGCCGGCTGCCTTTTAAATGCACATTATACCTGAATCTCCATTTACTCTTCATTCCCCATTCACATGTTCAGCTGCAAGTTCATAGCTCTCTAACCATTCCTTGCCCTGTGCCACAAACTCTCCTGAACTGGCACTGCCACCACTCCCAACCAAATTTCACCATCATCACGGCCATGAACCTCCTGTTCCTGCCCGCCTGGCTGCATCTCGCCACGCTATTTTACCTCCTCTGAAAATCCCCACTTCATTTTTGTTGGACAGGGTTGAGGTCAAGCGCCTGGAAAAAGAGAACGAAGACCTACGATACAAACAGGCTGTGGCTGAGGGCCACGCCAACCAGAAGAAAGAAAAAGCCCAAAGCGAAACTCTCCAATCCTTGTTGACTGAACGGGATGCAGCGAAGGAACAAATGATTAAAGAAAAAAAGCAGATAACTCAGCTTGATCAGGAGGTATAGAGAGACAGGATAAGACATTGTAAGACTTATTTTTCTAAAATGGGATGAAGCAGCAGGTTGGAGAGCTGGGATTCTGGGACCTTAGAAGGTTGATGTAGTTGTGATATGAAAGAACAAGAGACACAGGCATGTCCTGATATAAGGTCTTAAGAGGCAGTGTGGAAATGTGTAAGATGGCCGTCTGCTACGTAGCATCCAATTGATGTATTGGCTTTTCAGTTCTTAAAATGCACACAGGCCTTTGGTCACATTGCTGAGAATTCTAGCAATTACTGTCCTCATACATTAGGGAAAAACAATTACAGGTAGTCCTCGACTTACAACCAGTTGCTTAGTGACTGTTCAAAGTTAGGCTGACCCAAAAAGGGACTTATGACTTGGAGCTGAAGTTCCAACAGTCAGGCCCCCTTCCTGGTCACATGATCAAACTTTTTTGGCTTGGCAACACAGCCACATTTATGGCTGTTTGCAGCATTCTGTGGTCATGTCACTGCATTTTACAGCGGTTTTGCTGAAAATCGGCACTTCTGGTTTTCAGCAAACCATGCTTAACAATTGTTGCAGAAAAATGTAAAATCGGTTTGGTTGCAAGACTGACCTGTTTTATGACCATCATGACACAAGACTGTAATGGGCAGGCTTCATTATGGCCGTATGTTCACAGCCACCTATACTGCCTTTTTTTTTTTTGCAGATGTCTCTTTCACATTCAGATAAAGAAAACTGGAAATTGGTGCAGGAGTAAATGAATTTAAGATTTAGACCTCTGGGTTAAATATAGGGATGAAGACTGCAGCAGGAGTTGGCATTTAGAGCCCAAGATCAAACGTCAGAGCAAAAGAGCTGAGAGAATATGAATTTCTCCAAATATTAAATTTCTTGGGTCTGAAAATAACCTGCATTTCACTTCCATTAACTAATTTGTTGTTAATAGATCCAAACCTGGGAGAACCGTTTGGCTGACCGGAAGCAGATGGTGGGCAGTGACAGCCTGATCCAGGAACAGAGAGCCCATTTGCAAAGAAAGATTCAGATAGTAGAAAACCAACTAGATAAGGTAAAAATAGTCAGGGGTACCCAGATTTGGTGCCAGAACTTGTGGATGGTCTAAAACTTTCTTCATTCTGCTCTCTGTTTCCAGATCTCCTCCAAATTCAGTTCTCAGCTCGTCTTGAATTCACAACTACGTGAGGATCTAGAAATTCTCCAAGTTGGATATGATCACTTTGAACAGCAGTATAAAGATTTAGAGGAGGTAAAGCGAATTTAAAAGAAAATTGTTAAATTTGTTGGGATTCTTGGCTAACAGAATTTCAAGGAAGACTGGAGTCACGTTACAAGATAATGAGGTTCTGTTAGAGAATTCTGGGATTCAGTTGCTTAGCAAGAACTTTTGCCCAGAATGGAAAGGTGTGATTGGCTATTTCGGTATTTTAAAACTGAGGTGCCTAATTGGCAAATAGAAAATCATGGGCTTAAAAAATGCAGTTTGGAAAGTTATTTTGGGTTATAAAGCTGAGAACATAATTTAACAATGAAATTCTGATGCTTTAAGTTACATTGGGTTCTACATACATTTGCTGTTTAAAAAGTTACCCAGAATATTCCAATCTGTCAAAAGCCCAAGCTGACCATTGTTTGGTCACCCATTTCTGTAGTTTCCTAAATGTGAGCTGTTGCATACATATGAAATTACATGGTGAAGATTACCTTGCTTTATTTGTTAATGAAAACATTAAGAAACCTCAGATTACTTCATTGCTGAAGATAAATGGATTTCCTGACTTTTTCCATAGAAGTAGAAGCTTCTTCAGCTTTTGATGCCACTGCAGATTTTCCGAACACACTTACAGGATACTTTATGCTTGTGGAATTACACCCTAAAGCAGACATGTCAAATTCGCGACGTCACGCAATGTATTGGAGCTTTTTCTCCATTGCCGGCAATGGGGTGGGCGCGGTTTCCTGGTGACGTACTTAATTGTGTTATATGTGCAGTGGCATCACGTCACACTTTGACATTGCCACAGCTTATTTCTGATGCCTGTGCTTGTAGACTGTGATTCGTGACATGATCAATGTGTTTATAGCAAAAACTAAGAAAGCCATTGAGAAGAATTCTAGCAAGTGTCAAGGGAAAAATGCAAGCAGTCCTACATAAAGCAGAAGTAAGGTTTAGTTCTTGCTGTCTTTTTCACACTCGTGCACCGTAATGGGTCAGAGGCCCTCTCCTTTTATTATTTATTTATAAATTTATATGCCTTCTCTTTTTGGGTGGGAGAAGCTGCTATTCCCCCTGCTTTTTGTTATTTAATGGGCTGTTCAGATTTTACATTGTTTGCTTCTTATCTTTTCAAGAGTTCCACTTAAAAAGATGTTGAGGCTGAAGAAAAAGTGCAGAGAAGAGCAATAAAGATGATTAGGGGGCTAGAGGCCAAACCATACAATGAATGGTTGCGGGAACAGATATGTCCAGTCTAGCAAAGAGAAGGGCTAGGGGTGACATGATAGCAGTCTTCCAATACTTGAGGGGTTGTCACAGAGAAGAGGGGGGCAACCTATTCTCCAAAGCATCTGAGAGCAGGACAAGAAGTGGTGGATGAAAGATTATTAAAGAAACATCCTAGAATTAATGAGAAGTTTCCTGACAATGAGAATAATTAATAGGTGGAACAGTTTGACCCAAAGTTGTGGGTGCATGACTGGAGATTTTAAGAAGAGATTGGACAACCATTTGTCTGGAATAGTATAGGGTTCCCTGCTTGAGCAGGGGGCTGGACTAGAAGACCTCCAAGATCCCTTCCAACTCTGTTATTCTATAATTCTAAAACAAAACTACAAGGAAGAAAGGCAGACACTAATAAGCAGGAGCAAAAAGGGGGAGAGATTGGAGTCTCACCTACTAGCGAAGTAAATGTTCAGTCTGCTTTATAAAGTTTATTTCATTGGCATTAGAGATTCCTTTCCCTAACCTCATCTCTTTTCTCCCCCCCCCCCCAAGAATATTATCAATTGATCTAACTGGAAGATCCCAAGCTGGATAAGCTGGGATTCAAATTTAGCAGAAATTCTTTTAATTAGACATACCAGGGATTCAACCTGCACTCAGTCTTGTCAGAAGTAAAGTCTTCATCCTGGTTCATCCAAGCCGGGGATTAATAAGGAACATGGCGACTGCTTTGGGAAGATGGTTACAGTTTATTGAAGAAGCAGAAAGATGGTTCTTGCAGGAAAGAGCAGAGGAGAGAAGGGGCTGAGCACATGGGTAGTAGGTTTTTATACACTCTCTAGCCTTTTGTTTGGAATAGTTTCCTGTTCCTGTGGCATGAACTTTGAGGATATTTCTGAGTGTTTTTCTAGGCCTTGATATCTGTGGTTTAATCCTATTATCATATCCTGTTTCCCTGGGGCTGGGCTAATGACTCTTAAGAGTTTCTTTGTCTTCTTGAGTTCCCTGGCTCCAACCTTCCTGATGGTTTTACATCTGCATTTGTATAGGGCTGGCTCTTGCTTGGGGCAGAGATTTGAGGCCAGAGAGATTTGGTTTCTGCTTTTAAAAAAATCCCTTTGAGGAAAAATATATTTTTCTGCCCTTTTAATATTTCCTTCTCTGGGGCTCTGACTTCCCACAATATCCCCCCTTTGTGCCTTAAGTGTGAGAATGTCACACTTATTGGCACAACATTAAAATTGATCTGGTCAGGGAGACTTGGTAGACAAGCTTTTAAACTGTTAAGCCAAAAAAATAAGACATTAATGGAGGCAGCAGAAAAAGATCCCCGCTCCCAAAAGGGGAGCTTGCAACCCATAAAGTTCTAAAAGTCAAGGCAAAAATTTTGTTAGGTGGAAAAGAAATTTATAGTGTCCAATATTCTGTGCCAATCATTTTCAAATGTTGGATGTCACTCTTAGCTTCCAGTCAGGTTTGCACACCTCCCAAAATTCTTCACAGTACATGGCTGCCCGTTTTCAGGGGTTGTTTCCTGCCTTAGCTCTTAGTTCAGTGCATCCAGGTTTGTAATGTCCAATTAAGGTTAGCCAGTATGCCAGGCTATTAAATTTTCCTCAAATTGCACATAGTGAGCTCTAGGAATCCCAATCTGAGTCCACTAGTGCAAGATATTCAGGGCTGAGGAGATCTGTTTCCTGTTGCTTCCTTAGTCAGGGCATATGAATTGCAAATCACCTGAGGGGGCCTGGTTCCCTCCCCCTTGGAATTTGTTGGAAGTTGTTCCTACAAAGCTTTGGTGCAATAGAGCAAAAATCAGCATGGGGAACTTTACTAAAGGTAGGTGGAGGGGATAGACTCAATGTGATTCTGAATGGTGTGTTTGTGTGTATATGTGCAGCTATTTCTACAAAACAGGCAATACAAACATTCTGGATAATTTTTTCCCTCCCACCAGACAGAAGTCCAAGGTGTTCAGTACTTGCTGTGCCAACTATTCCCAAATGCCATCTCTCCATGAATACATTCAACTGGCTTGTTACAATACAAATGTGGCAAGAAAGAGAACTTTACAATGAGTTTCCACCCTCCCCCCCCAGTCTAATTTTCTCTTCAGAGGCTTCAGATGGGGACCAGTGGCTCCAGGACTCCTTCCTTCTGCAGCTCTCATAGGCATCTGGGGGAATGGTAGGACTTGGGAAGATGTTCCACTCAGGTTGCATGGTGGCTTTTTAGTGGATGGCTGGATTCAAAACCCAATTCCATGGCTCAAGTGGATGGAGGCTGCATCTGGGTCTGTGTGTCCTGCTTCTAAAGGTTATGGAGGGATCATTTATGCAGGGCTGAAAGACATGAGAATAAGATTCTGCCCCCCCCCCCTTTCTGGGTGGACTGTTGGAATATTCATGAGCAGGAAGAGTCATGTGGTAACTCAGTCAGCCAATGTGGAGAAAAATGCTACTGAGTCTGTGCAAAAAAGGTATTGAGTTGGAAGCTGGAATTTTTATCCAGTCTCAGGTCTGTCTCTGCTGTAAGAAGTCTTCATTGTGCTATGTTGCTGTAAAGAAGAATGTATGGTATTGTAAATATTTTGATATGGATATAAAGAGTTTATTTGAATCAGCTAAATGCAGTCAACTGTGAGAGCTTCTGATTTATTTTTTCACCAATAGAGAAATTAAAATTCTCTAACAGGTTATGGGCCCAGAGCTTACTAAGGACTGCATTGTAATTTGAAGCTGGAAGAAATTGCCTGTGTTTAGAAAGTATAAGAACAAGGCAGAATTAGCAGAATGGCTGCAATGGAATTTAAGGAAAGCTCTGTGCCTCGTTTAGGCCAAAAGAATTACATTATATGGGCTGCTAAGATGGAATGTTTGCTGAAAGCTAAAGAGCTGTGGTATATCGTAGAAAATCCACCACAAGTATTTGCAGCTGCTGATAAGAAAAGTCATGATCGAGCAATGGCTTATCTCATCTTGAATTTAGATGATGAACAATTTCTAAATGTTGCAAATCTAAAGACTGCAAAGGAAATTTGGCTGAAGTTGAGAGCTGTGCACGTGAATGTTTCTGCATGCAATATAGTGCAATTGTCAAGAAAACTTTACAGGGCCTGTTTGCAACCAGGTGAATCTGTGGAACAGCATTTAAATAAAATGCAAAGTTTATTTTTGGACTTAGAACAACGTGGGATTAAATTCCCTGAGTCCCAGAAGGTTTTATTGGTGTTCAACAGTTTAGATAAAACCTGGGACACAGTTTCTGCAATATTTGAGTGTAAAGAAGAACAAGACTTAAATTTTGAGGCTTTAAAGGCATGTTTGCTTAATGAACAAGAAAAGCACAATTTCAGGAGTAGCCACGAGGAGGACAAATTCCTGAGGAGGGGGTCCAGACTGCAAGTCTCCGGAGAAGCAAGGAGCAGATGGGACCAAGTTGCAACAAAAGAGAGATTTTGCAGACAGAGAGCTCTGCAAGAAAAGAATTGCTACATTTGTGGTGCAAACACACATCTGAAAAGGAACTGTTTGCAGAGGAACAATTTGCAGCAAAGGACTTTTGTGCAAGCAAAGAAGACTGATTTGCAAAAGGAACATTTTGGTGTTGCAAAAGTTTGCTATAGCAACAACAGAGACAAGTGGCTAATAGATAGTGGGGCAAGTCAAACAATTGTTAATAACTCTGAAATATTTTGCAGGGTTGTTCCAGTAGATGTCCCCGGGGTTGCAGGTTCCACTTCCTCGTTGTCTCTCCCTTTGCGGCTCCAGGAGCTGGGGTGGGCGTAGGGCTCAGGATTCCCCTCTCCTAGGGAGCTGAGAGTTCACTTCATTAGGTCGATTGCTTTCTCTAGAATCCAGCCCGAGTACGGTGCCCAGCTCCCTTCCTCTTCACTTGCGTGCAGGGATTTCTCCATCTCCTGCTTCCATTCTGGTTGTTTGGGCCCCCGTCTCAGAGTCACCTTTCTTGATTTCTTTCCCCACTCGCCTTTCTTTCCAACATCCATTGACCACCGAGGTTTGTGGTCCCGTGTCTCCACCACCTCTTCCCCTGAGGATTCTGACCTCTCAGATCCCGACAGCTGGCAGGGTTTCATCCGGGGCAGCGGCTCCCTTTCCGGCGAGTTTTCTCCCTTTCTTGCTCCACTGTCTGACATGGTAGTTTTTGCAAAGTCCCCCGGCAAGGGTCTTCCTTCCAGGTGGACTAATTTTGCAAGTCCTGTCTAATGTAAGGACCCACCCCACTTTGCATCTTAAGAAGACAGAACTCCTGGAATATTTCTTCCAACAGGCATCTTTAGTAAGAGAAAGCTGGATGTAGGCGTTCTAGACAGGACTTGGGTCCAAGCTCTCACATTCAAGTTTTTAAGGGATCCCCCATTAGTCACACCCCCATCACCCCCTTCTCCCAGCGACAATCCCAGGCATTACATTCTCACCCCCTTTTCCTCATTGCCGGGAGGAGACTTCAAAAAGGATTACATGAAAGCTAATGACCCCNCTAATGACCCCCATTGTTATTGTTAGTCCGTTTGGTGATATCCACATCCAGTCCCTTTGAAGTAGGCTGAAGGAAGTGAGGGCCCTAAAGCCCCTTTGTTCACCCCCTTCCCTTCATCGTATGACAGAATCCAGAGCAGGCAGAAATGCGGGTTTTCATAGTTGATAACTAGAGATGGAATATATTTGGATTCTGACAAATCTAATGGTAACATAAATGTTTTGTATGTTCAGTGGTTAGAAGGGACAGATTTCAACTGTTTGTGAGCACTGCAGAGTTGGGAGTTACACTGAGGGAGATTTAGCACATGTAATATTAGAGAAGAATTGGGGCTTCTTTTATTTTTATTTTTTTCTCTCTCAATAGAAGAAGAACGGAGATGGAAAGACAGTGAGGAAGAGTTGCTTGAATCTTACAGCAATGCCTTTGATAAACTCCTGGAGCTCACTGGCTCAAAAGATCTGAATATGGCTCTGGATACATTTATTAAAGGTGATGTATGTGAATGCCAGTTAGTTTAAAAAACAGGGATCATTTTGCACTAGATCAGTGATGGCAAACCTTTTAGAGACCGAGTGCCCAAAAACTGCCCCGTCCCCTGGCCCACTCCTGCCCCCTCCCCCTCCCCTGTCCGCTCCACTCTGCCCCCAGCCCACCTGCCCCTCCCGCCTCGCAGGGCCACCCGCCGCCTCCACAGCCTGCCGCAGATGGCCCAGTGGCCCTGCAGCACCATGATGGCCCCACCCTCCACCCACACCCTGCAGCATCATCTCCACGTGACAGGGCATGAGGGTGGAGTCTTGTCCTTGCTGCCCGGCTGCCATGTGCTTGGCTGCTCTGCTCTGTGCGAGCTGCGCCTGGGGGTGACTCTCCTCCGGGGAGGCTGCTGGTGAGGAGGGGGCCATGGGGGGAGGCGGGGCTGGGGTGACGGCGTGTGTGCCTACAGAGAGGGCTCTGAGTGCCACCTCTGGCACGCGTGCCATAGGTTTGCCACCACTGCACTAGATAGTATTCACTGCCTCGGCCTACTGAGGTTGGTTGGCCTCAGGAAGAGCCCATTGATTGGGACATTTGGGAGCCATTCTCCCTCCAGTGCCCCTTGGATATTTGGGCCCTGATTATTAATACGTTGGCTTCTATAACGTTTGTCCTTCTCTCTATAGATAGGAAAAGGAATTTTGCTCAGTTCAACTATGTCAATGAACAAAACAGCCAGAAGAACCGACTATGGGAAGAAATTCATGAGGTGAGTAGAAAAGATGATCTCTCCTCTTCTTTCTCTTTTTTTATTTTTAAGAAGGGCAGTATTTTTTAGAGGTGATTGCCTCTGTGACTTTCCCAACCACTGAACTGAAGTGCTATCCACTCCTCTTTGAATTAGCAGAAATTTATAAATGCATATATACATATGAATGTATCCTGTCAGGTTTGTAGAGGTAGCAATAGCAAGAGCTCTTAGACTTATATGCCGCTTCACAATGCTTTACATCTCTTAGTGGTTTACAGAATCAGCATATTGGCCCCCAAAATCTGGGTCCTCTTTTTACCGACCTCAGAAGGATGGAAGGCTGAGTCAACCTTGAGACAGTCAGGATCGAACTGCTGGCAGTGGGCAGAATTGGTCTGCAATACTGGTTTCTAACCACTGTGCCATCATGCCTCTATAACAAAGATGAGGGCAATATCAGAATTTAGAAGGATTTTAACAAGTTGATAGTTGGTTGAAATTCATCTTGCTGTTTTTCAGCCCAAGCAAAATCTTGCATTTAGATAGGACAGATCAAAGGCACATGAATATGGTGGGGGGGAGTTTTAAACAAACAAACAAATAAATAGGCAGTCGTACGTGTGAAAACAGTCTGGGTGTTTTGAAAGATCACAAGCCAAACATGAGCCAATAGTGTGATGTAGCTGCAAAAAAAAGCAAATGCCATCCTAGGCTGCTTCAACAAAAGTACAAGAGAGAACTTGTCATTCCTCTATTCTGCAACAGGCCTGGAATATTTTAGGAAGCACAGTGTCAGACTGGAACATGTGAATGCAAGATGGTGAGGGCCTTGGAAAGAGCAATAGGAACAGTTGGAAACAATGGTCCTGGATAAAAGAAAACTCTGGGATACCTGATAGTCATCTTCTGTACAGCCATCATGTAGAAGGAAGGGGAGAATTGTTCTGAATTGTTCTAGAAATTGAGAAAGAAATAATTTTAAATAAGAGATTTTAGCTGGACATCAGATAATATTTCTTAATAGTAAGAGATATTCAGCAGTGGAACAGACTAACTTGGGAGAATGGTATTTAAACAGAGGCCAGATGGCCTTTTGATGGGGATACTGTCCTAATGGATTCCTGATCAAGGCAGTGGGCTGGAACAAATGATCTCCCAGGCCCCTTCCATCCCTGACAGTCTATGTCTCTGCAGTTGGTAAAAAAATAAGAAGTTCCTTCCATCTTTTATCTTTGCTTTTCCAGCTTTGTCATGAGATCCAGGAGATTCAAAAGCAGAACAGTCAAAGGGAGGCCCAACAGCTGTTGCAGCTCCAGGAAACTGAAGCCCAACAGGAGGAGACGGTGAAAGAGGCCAATCAGGCTGAGCAGAACCTGAAAAGGTTCCCCAAGATTTGGGAACAGCTTAAAAGCGGTGAGCAATGATGGGAGAAAAAGGAGTTGCTTACTAATGGTTGTGTTAAGTAAATCTGGATAATAATGAGCAAGTTTTCCTCTGAAGCTTTGCAGCTGGGGACTGGCTCTTGTCTCATCATGAAAGCTATGGGTTTTTTTTTTAAAAAAAAATAACTTCAAGAGTGCAATATTTTGGGGGACTGTGGCACCTCTTGAGATTGTTGCTAGGATGTTCAGAGCCAATTGTGGAATTCCAGGTCATCAGTTACGTTACCAGAAGCCAAACTGGTGCCAGAGCTCCTCCCCTGGTACCCCAGACTGCCCCCTATCACCCTTGTTCTCCTTGACTTTTTAAAATTGATTTATGTGGAGCCCAGAGACTTCAAGACCAAAAGCTTAATTATAGCCACCTACGATGATGGGCAGCGAATATCAGGAGAACCAGGAAGCTTAATGGACATCAAAGGTGATGTTCACACATTGACAGTAATTAGCACTATTCTGCGTCAGATGCTGCACCCTCACAGTAAAAGCAGTGAGTCTGTGGAGATGTGTACGATCCAAACAAGCAGTAGGCCAACATTATTCAGTGTGACACGACCCAATATACTGAGGTGGAGGTTTCATTTAATGCATCTCCTCCTACCAGTAAATGTTGGTCCCCCAAAGATGGTCACATTCTATTTTTTAGCACTAGGGGAAAAAAGTGATGGTTATCTAGCTTCAGCAGTTACTGACACAGGACCATGAGAAGGAAAAGAGGATAAGAAGAGGCTCAGAGAATTGGTTTGCGACTTGCTGATTGTTCATTGATCAACAGGAAAAACTGCTTGCTGAGAATGGCTCAGATGGTATGGGGGGTAACCTGGAGGTAGAAAGACACTTCCTTCTTTGAGCAGAAAGTTGGGCAAAGTAGATACAAATTCCCACTGGCTCCAGACAATATGGCCATGGAAATGAGCATTTAGTCCAACTTCCAAAGGCCACAGTTATAAACTCATCTTTGTTAGTAGGCTAGGTATTTGAAGGGTATAGTGTCAAAAAAGAGGGTTTTTCCTCAAAACATGAAAACCTGGACTTACCTGGTGGCTCTGATGGCCAGTTCCTTCAGACAGCATAAAAGAAGCCTTTTTTTCAACACCACACATGTATGCAGCTTGTATGTTAAGCAGGAGACAAGTGGGCCTTTAAAAAGATTGTATTGCTTCTTTTGCTGCCCTTTTCAGTCTTCCTTTATCTTGGAAAACCAACTGTCCCACTATCCATCATGCAAATCCTAGACAGAAGATCGGACAAGGTCTATCCCATGGAAATTGGTGTTGGAAGCAGGTTCCCCCCCCTCCCCAGGTGCAGTACAGAGCCATTGATTAATTTAGTTGCAGGCAGAAGATCTCTCGCTTGTTTCTGAAGGACATGGCAATTAATGGCAAGCGTCAGGATTCACTTTCCTTCCCCCCCCCCCCTCAAAGCAATTGAATCTCTCTTCTGGAAACTGGAGTGTGACCATTCCACGCTGGAAAAAGTGCTGGGCGGGACAACAACTGCTCAGGATAAGAATGTTGCCATTTACCTGAGCATAACTGAACAGAAGGTCAATAAGCTGCTCACAATGTATTCCTTCAAGAAGGCTGAGGTATGCAGACAGCAACAAGACTGGAGATGGGTCATTTCTCATTTCTCTCTGTGTGGAGAAAGTGTTGCATGGATTTCTTTTACCCCCAGGTTAGGAAAAGGTGACTTTCAGCTTACTTTTCCCAGCTTACCCAACCTAATTTAGATTGCTATAACAGGAACTGGAAAATGTTTTATTGCATAAAAATCCACTTAGAATTTGCAGGAAAAATATGTGACTGGAGCTATATAGGACCTGGGTGTCCAACTTTGGCAACTTTAAAACTCGTGGACTTCAACTCCCAGAATTCCTCAGCCAGCCATGTTCTGGGAATTGAAGGCATAAGTCAGTGATGGCGAACCTTTTAGAGACCGAGTGCCCAAACTGCAACCCCAAACCCATTTATGCATCGTCGGGTGCCGGGTGGGCGTGGCCATTGGGTGGGTGTGGCCATTGGGTGGGTGTGGCCCATTGGGTGGGCATGGCTGCAGTGGTAACGGCAAACTGGGTGGGACTAAAAAGTTCAATCAATCAATTCCAACTTTGCAAGATCTTTTTTTTTTCCGCGAGAAGTTGAAATTGACTGATTGATTGAACCTTTTTTTTTTTTGCACACGGCGGTGGAGGCCTAGAGCAAAAAGGTTTTATAAAACCCAGCTGAAGGCCTAGGACTGGGGCGACGGCGCGCATGCCCACAGAGAGGGCTCTGAGTGCCGCCTCTGGCACCCGTGTCATAGGTTCGCCACCACTGGCATAAGTCTTAAAGTTGCCAAGGTTGGACAGCCCTGCTATAGGATAATCTCTGCTTGGTCCCGTGTACTCATAGGTCTACATAGATCCAATATAGTTCTCACTTTTCCAGTGTTTTGCTTTACCTAGCTCATTCCCAGTTTTTTTAAATAGTTTATGATATTGTGTGTTTGTGTGTGTGATATATTTCTGCAAATATAAAAATTAGAAACTTAAAAAAACATTTTAATAATAGCTGCATTTAGTGTTGATGTATTGGAATGGGATAACCTTGTGGTGGGTAACCTGCAGCCCGTCAGATGTTGCTGAACTACAGCTCCCCGTATGTTTTACTTACTGTCCATTAGGACACTAAGGCTGTAGTAGTTGGCTACATCTGAAGAGCCACATATTGCTCGTTTCTGGCAGATTAATACATGCAGCGTAGTGGGTCTCTTTTAATTTAAATCTTTAGGTGAGGGTAAAGAATGGTCTTTTGTTCCCTACTTCTAAATTTGATCTCTTTTTAGGACAAGGACGAGTCCTATGACACTGTGGAGACAGCACAGCTGCTCCTGGGGCAGACACCAGGGCTGTGGCCAATGGCGATGACTGTTCGGCCACCCACAGCTGGGTAAGGAGAGCTGGTTATTACCCAGACAATCCAAAAGGATATCCGTCTAAACCTCCATTTGGCGTGTCCCCATTTCCACATTAAATTCAGAGTGGGGCATGGGAAACATATTTTTTGTGGTGGTGTCACCTAACCTGGAATTGTTAAGGGCTTTGGGTTGTATAAATTTCAGGTGAATGCTGCTTCAATGTTCCTTCCATTAAGAGCAGTGTGACAGCTGGAACTGATTTACTGAGCTTTTCCTCATCAGAAATCTTTAGACACACAGGGCAGCCGTCTGATAGAGAAGTTGTAGCTTTGAATTTCTTGTCGTGAGCAAGAAATTGGACTAAATCAGGGATGGGGAATCTTTGACTCTCCAGATATTACAGACAACTCTCAGAACCCCACATTATTGGCAGGACTGCTGGTAGGGATATTTAGGTAGCATTTGATGGGGTACAAACCCTTGAGCCACGGTGAGTCAATTGGATTTGCCTGCAGTGTCACTGTCGTTATTACTTTAATTTTTATACTAATAGCCCTAGGTTTATGCATGGCATTTAACAAAGGACAAGCCCTTGTCCTAAATTTGCAGTATAAACAGTGACATAGGGAAGTAATTTTAAAACAAAGAAAAAATGACTAAATTCATAGAGATTTGCAGTCTCTGCATTTGAAAGATACCCAGTTGGGGAAGGCTGCACTGAGCCGTGGTTCATTTAAGTATGGTTTGTTAACACAGTTGGCCAGATGTGTCCCACATGCCAAGTGATTAATCATGGTTTAAAACTACTGTTGACAGAGTTAACACAACCTGACCTAAACGCAAAGTATTTTATGACTTAATAAAATACAGGATCTGTATCCTGCATACTTTGGCTTGGTGGGGTTGAAGATTGAGTTAAACTCTAGGATTGATGGGATTTTAAAGAATGGATTTTATATAGTTATTTTTTAAGAGGTACCAAATTTGTGATTCAGATGCATAGAACAAGTAGTGTATACATTCAAGCCAAGAAACATCCACAGCAAAAGAATGCAAAGCAAATTTTTAAAAAGCAAGAACTGGAGCAGTAAAATAAAAAAAAATCAGTAAAACAAAGGCATACACTGACATAAAATTACTTTAGTTTGATGCTCAAACTAAGACTCTCTGATGAGAGTCAAAGTCACAAGTGAATTATAAAACAAAGAACATTATTTCCCACGTTGCAACATTTGCTCTGGGATGAGGGGGCATAATGTGGCAGAGGCGTTATTGATGCTTGGATCCTGGTATTTAGAGGTCAAGGCCAATAGGAATAGCAGTTGTGGAAAAGCTCCAGTTTCTGAATTGTTTTCTAGTCTACATGGAATTCTACATAAAATAGAATACAGCAGGATCCGTTTTGTGGGTTAAACTAAAAAAGAGGAAAAAATAGAAGACCAAGCTCTTGGGAGGAATATGAAATCAATGTTCCCTTATTCTTCTGATCTCATAGGAGCAATCAGATTTTAGAATAGCTCAAGAACAGAATATTTTTTTTAAAGGACAGATTTGTAGTATTTAGGACAATGTTAATCAGATCATTCTTTGGGGTTTGCAGACTTGGCCATGAGCCAATACAAGAAGAGGACAACAGACCTTTAACTCATGAGGAGCTCAGAGAAAAAGTAATAAAGGAGGTGAGTTCAAGAGACAGAGCGAGCTAAGTTTGTATTGAGATGAAAATGAACACACTTGGGTGCTTTAAAACTTGTGTATTAGAAAGGACTGCTTTACCAATGTGCACTATTTATATCAAACAGACTATTTTATGCAGTATGCATGTATGTGCAAAAAGGAACTTGTTCACAAAAGTCAGGGGATGATTTCCTACAGTTGGCCACATTTTGCTTTCTGTAGTGGTTCCGACCCCTGTTGTAGAAACATTTTCCTTTTTTTTTGGTTTCAAGTTTTTTATTGCTTTTACAATATTACATTTACATATTTGAAAAGTAGCGTGGCGGCTGAGCACAGTAATTCCGTTACATTTGAATATCATCAGTACAAATCTCAAATTATTACAACAAACTAATTCCCTCTCTTTCCCCCAAGATATCTACTGTCATGTTCAAACCAATACAGTTCTTATTCTATTAATCAAACAAAAATACCTTTCTAATATTCATCAATAATCTTCAGTCTATACATATCTTAATTAATTTGATATTCCACCTTTTAGACAATAACCTAGTAAGTTTTTTTTAACTTTAGTTTGCCATTGATATTTAAGTTTAACATTTAATCTTTATCATTTCCAGGTTTTAAATGATCCCAATTTCTAAGTCTCCTATCTCACATTTGGAGCTAATAATTTTTTTTCTTTTCTTCCTTCTACTTCCTCCTTTCTTCCTTTCCAGAAAGAGAAAAAAAAATTAAAAGTAAACCACCAACATTTATACCACAAACCCATATACAAATTTAATTATTAGTACTTATACTTTTAAGTTTTACTTAACCTTTGTCTCAACTCATAACAATATCTTAAATTCAAATCTTAATTATTTGTAGACATTCAGATTACATTTAATATTTAATTTTTCCAAATTTTTAATTAAACATGATTCCTTTATCCCGATTGCTCATACATTCTAATATTTAAAATACACACCTTATATATAAATTCTACCATCTATCTTATCCATCTAATGACAATATAATATTCTTATTTCAACATACGTATTTCTAGATTTTATATGACCAATTTTTTTTTATCTCAAATCGTTACAATGTCTTGTGTTCAGAATACATATTCTATCTATTTAGATATATTCTATTTTAGATCTCATATATAGATCAGAACCCCAATCTTTTTCAATCTTATTCTAGCTTTTTTCCTCTGCCAGGTCATTTTTTGTATTTTTGCCTTTAAATCATCAAAAAAGTCTCCTTGTATTGTTGTTGTAACTATTGTTTGATATTGATAAGGGCGTTCAGTTGCTGTTTTCTTAAGAGAACTAGCGGATTTAGCAGGTCGTCTCTTTATTTTTCCAGTTCGATGCAGTTGTCCCGAAGTATTTATCTTCTCTTTCATCTGTTTTTCTTTTTTATCTTCAAATTCCTTCTGGTTTATAAGAAAAGTCCTTTCCTTGTTCTCTATTATCAGTTTCCTCCCCGTGTTTTCCACTGTTTGTATTTGTTGAGTATCTGAGTCTTCTGTCATAGCATTTGGTTGTTTCACCTTCTCTATAAAATTCTGTATAGATGATTCTTTAGTTGAAGTCATAGTTTGAGCTTGCATACGGAGAGTTTGGATAATTGCTTTTAACATACTGTATAAAGAATTTGTTCCTGTACTTCCTCTGTGGGAGAAATCCATTCCTGTTCTTCTTCCATTGTCATGTATTAAACTAAACAAAAAGCTTACAATCAGAAAGTCCACCAAGTAAAAAGCTGAGCTGAGTTTCTTGCAGATGGTGCTTCAAGGTTGCTTTATATCTTATCTAATTTCAAAGCTATCAACAAGTCTCTCTTAAAGAATAGCAGGTTACAGTCTCAAATTTAGCCAGCAAACTCAGAGTTAGTTAGATCTTTTCAGTTTTCTTTTCCCCCTCTATTTTAAGGGGGAGAGAAAGAACCCAAATCTTCAATAATAGTTAGAGTAAAAATCAGAGAAGAAGAAAAAAAAATAGAGAGTAGAAAGTTACAAGTCTTATAATCCACCAGTTTTAAAAAATAGAATTCCAATTAGGATCCCAGTATTTTTCCAACGTTTTAGACTCCCAAGTGGTTCATAGCCGCTGTTTCTGGAGAGAGGGCTAAAATCCCCCTTCCCTCACCACAGGGGGGAAAGTACTTTAGCAGCTTATGCAGGTAATTAAGTAATTAGGATGTAAGAGAGGCAGATCTCACCCAATCCATTCCACGGTGCTTTGAAGTTGCCAGATGTTAATGTGACTTCGGCTGTTAGCAGCCTAGGGACAGCCATATTTCTATGGCCGGTCCTTTTGTCCGCTGGTTTGGAGAGATTGCCAGGTCTAACAGGAGCGTTGCTGCTCTCCTGCGATCCAGCAAAAGCCCCTCCTTGCTGATCGCCTCTTCGGGGCAATTTTCGGCCCTTTTCAGGGCCCCCCAGCAATGCAAAACTGAACGGGGGAGAGAGAGCAGATCTCCCAGTCGTCCATGGCGGCTGCGTGACAAAACCGGAAGCCTGTAGAAACATTTTCCTACAAATGCAGTTTTGGGAATTGGTGCCTCAGTTCTTGAAAGTAGGTCATACATTCTGTCTCAGTTCCTTTCTTTGTATTTGTTGATTAACCTCAACTGTCCAAACTCCTCAGCCATCAAGTAATCCTTCCAACAACAAATCCATACTTCTGCTGGCCCCAGGGAGCCTGGTTTCAGAAAAGAGAGGGTGGGCGCTGGTGAGCCTTTGCACTTCAAGGTGTCCTCTGGAACATTGCAGAGCATAAGGGGCTGCAGCAACTCTCCTGCTGAAGCAGCTTTGAGCAGCCTCCTCTCCTACCTCTCAGCAGAGATGTGAACTTGGCAATAGTGTTGGGACTACTGAATCTGGGCTGCAAACATCTGGAAGGCAGCAGTTAGCTTTCTTTTTGTTGTTATCTAATAGTTGTCTAGAATTTTTTTTTTTTTACAACTCGGATCTGGTACCCCTAAGTCAGCAGTCTTTCACACTAGTCCAAAATAGATGAAATCACCTTTCCCCAACCAATACAAATATGTTTTTTACACTTATTTTTGAACCATAATAGAATGGATTTCTCTCTCCTCCAGTTCAGTGACTGTATCCTGGGACTAGCACAAACAAGTAATAACCTCAGGCCTCCAGACCTGAATAGGAATCTAACTGCAGCCTGGGCTGTGCCAACCAAAGAAGAAAACTGAGGCAGGTTTGCATTCCAAGTGTGGTTCCTGAAACATTTTTCTTTACACCGTTGCCCTCTGCCGCATCCTTTCTCATGTCTGGAAAAGGTTGATGTGGCTGAGTGTAGCCTTCATCCTGCAGGATCCTTCACTCTGCTGTCGAGCATGGAAAATCTTCCTCCTTCTGGTGAATTGTTCCTTTTCTGGGCTGCTCATGTGATCAGGACAGATGTATTGTGTCAGTGGTACATAATTCATAGCTGTCATACCATCCAAACTTGTTTGCTTCCGTGCTGCCTGCTTGTTTATACAGTATGCCTTTAATTTGACTCCACATTCTCATGCAAAGAGAGAACGCATTGCAACATTTTGGCCTATAGCAGTGGTATTTTACTTTGCCACCATTCCGGTGAAGGACGCAAGAATTTCCAGCTTCTAAAATAAGATCCTTTTTGGAAACAAGTGACCAAATTTGCTCTATTCCCCCAGCAGCATTTTGTATCAACAACAGTTCCTTCTACCGTTAGTCTCCTTAGCTGTCAGAGTGTTTGAGGCCCACAAGGGGTATATTGTGTCTTTTGATGTATCTGAGCAGGAATTGGGTTTATTTAAAGCACTTAGCCACATCTTGAACGGGTGTTTCTTTTTTAAAAAAACCAAAACCCTAGCACAGTGATGGCGAACCTTTTAGAGACCGAGTGCCCAAATTGCAACCCAAAACCCACTTATTTATCGCCGGGTGCCAGGTGGGCGTGGCCCACTGGGTGGGCGTGGCTGCGATGGTCATGGAAGACTGGGTGGGTGTGGCCAAGGTGGGCATGGTCACCTTGATGTTGCTCGTGGGGAGGGACGCCTGTGGGGGCGGGGCAGGGTTGGGGGAGATCCAGGGGGTCTCTGGCAGGTGGGGCGGTGGGCAGGAGGCTCGTCCTGCAGGGTGAGGCGAGGCAGGGCGGAGATGCCATTGTCGCAGGGCAAGGCGAGGCAGGGCCCGGGGCGGCTGCTCCCTGACACTATCGGCCCCCACACACAGAGGCCAGCGAGTGCATGGGGGCCGACAGTGTCCATCAGCAGCCATAGCCTGCTGGCCCCTCAACTGGCGCAATCTGGGGCTCCGCAGCCCACCGCCAGCAGTTCAGAGAAGCCACCTCTGAGCTAGACGACCGGCTGACAGCTGAGGAGGCGATGCAGTGGGTTGTGCCCGGGAAAAGGAGAGCATGCGAGGCCAGGAAACCAGCCGTGCTGGGATGCATCCGGCCACGTGGTACCTCAGCGAGTTAGCGGGCGGCTGGTTAAAGAGGGACGGTTGCCATCTCTTGGGCATGGCACGTGTGCCCATAGAGTGACGCCTCTGACACGCATGCCATAGGTTCGCCACCACTGCCCTAGCATGTTCCTCAGAGTGTGGTTTTTACCACATGATCATCTAATAATATGAGGCTGTATCAGTCCCACACGAAGTTCCCATTTACAACTGTCAGTTACAGCTCCGTAAGTGGCATATGCAAAAGGTTTTTTTCCCAAAGTAAATTGAAAAATACATGAAAACTGCGGTAATCGAGGTTTGTGTCAAAGAAGTTTCTTCCCAATAGTTATTTTTTCATTCTCTTTAAGCCCCCTTTTTGGAAGAAGTATTTTTTTTTTAAAAAAAGATCCCCCATTATTTCAACAAAGCTAAAACCACTTAAGCTGTTCCCCAACTCTCAAATGATTTTCCCCTACAGGGCCTCTATTTCAGGCCTCTTGGAACAGTCCCAGAAAAGTATCTTAGGTAAGCGGTTCCTCTCTCAAAGATGATCATCATGAAAAAAAAAATCTGATAGTTTCACTGAAGGAAGATAGGTGCTTT